TGGCTGGCTGGCTGGCTGGCTGGGGAATTCTGGGAGTTGAAGTCCACTCATCTTAAAGTGGCCAAGTTTGGACAACACTGGCCTAATCTGTATTTCCTAACCAAAAATGGGAATTGAAAATTAATAATTGTTAATGTAAATTATTTAGCCATGTTTCTTTTCTTCTCATATGCCTTTAATTTCTTTAGCTTTTTATTTCTTATTTTTTGCACTTCTCAGGAAAAAAAAAATTAGCTTCAATAATCTTTCAGTATTCAGCTACCAAACATGCTGGTACAGTTTCTAAACAATGTGTACAAAATCCATATATGAGAGGAAAGTGTGCTAAAATGGATATATTTGTGAAAATATCTTAAAATGCTCATTTTTTAAAAGTTATGGGATCACTTCATTTACTATAGTGAATGTAAATCTTAAGCACATTTTCTTCAAAATATCTCTGAGTCTTGAAAATGAACATATAAAAGCATCTCTGAGTTTTATAGTTAGATTTTAGATCCTTGATTTTGCTTTTCTTCCCTTGCATACTATTACTGTTTAAAACTGATGGCCATTACTAATGTTTTAGAACCTGGACTATTGCTTTCATGTTTACCTACCATGAAAGGTATAGGTGGTTGGATTCCATTTCTTTTCATGTTTACCATAAATTGCACCCGGGAGTCAATTCGTTGGACTACCTTTATATGCCTTGGTGGAAATTTAGGCTTTTTATACCTGCCTGCAGAATTATATTCCTACAAACACACTGCATTCTACAGAAGCAGTGTTTCTTAGTGAGCAAATTACTTTAGAATAATTGTGGGGGAATGATATTGGAGTCAGCATTCTCCTTTCTGAAAAACAATGACATTAAAAGCATCTCAGTGGTATACAGTATCCCTAAACAGATATCTGTGCTGGCAGTTTTACATGCAATGATCATCTCCAATTTCTAAAGGCTCCACTTTGCTTCTTCCTTCCACATTTATACTATACGCGGACCAACATGTTTTATCTCTACTCTATAAAGTCATAAGAGGTCCTCTGTTAAGGAGATTCATTTCTTTATAGAATCTTCACAGTGATTTTCCTAGAGCAGGGTAGAAAGTGATATTTTGATGTCATAGCTTATCTTAAGTCTTGGAATTCTATCTCTCTCACACAGTTAAGCATTATATGCACATATGCAATCTCACGTTAATTAAATTGTCACATTCTGAGGAAATTTTATGGTGGATTTCCAGACTATCTCCAAGAGACATTAGCAACAATATAAAATAATTGCCTATTCTCTGTAGTATTATAAGTAATTCAGAAACCTGAGGTATTTGGGCCAGAATTGTTACCTGCATACCAGTAGTTCTTGTCATTTACTTTATTCTAATTCGCTCCAGGCAGTGGAAAAACTGGTGCAGGGGGCTGAGAGTGGCTGTCACTCTGAGAAGGAAAAGCAGATTGTCCTGAATTGCAGCCGTCTCTTGACCCGCATCCTACCGTATATATTTGAAGATCCTGACTGGAGAGGTTTCTTCTGGTCAACAGTTCCAGGGGCTGGACGAGGAGTATGTATTTATTAAATTCCATTATCCTTTTCTGGAGAGTGGAGAAGATAGAGAAGCCAGAGCTGTTCGTTAATCAAAGATAGATAATTGGAATCTAAATTTCTTGCCTGCTGTATTATGTTTATTCACAGTGAGGAACTCAGGCTTGGGCGTATTTGCGCTGTTTAGTTTGCCTTGCTCTGATCCTTTTAGATTTCTATCTTTAAAAAAAGTATGCTGCAGCAACCTTGTATAGGAGATTGATGGAGACTCATGAATGGAAGGTTGAGGAATAAACAGACTTGTTTTATCCCAGGATTTTTATAGTACTATTAAAATTGAGTTTCCACCAATGGGCATTTCAAGAGAAAGTTTTGAACAGTAGCAGAAAGCAACCAAAGTCCAAATGCATCCTGGATTGCTTTAAAGTTAATTCTTCAAACAGGACTAGGAGGGAAGAAGACTAAATGAGCAAATACAGGTATCATGCCAGAAAAGCAATGCAAAACATTATATGTTACTAAACATGTAAGTTAATTGTTCAGGAGTTGTTTTATCTTCAGTAATGGTGGGAAATGGCAAGTACTATTAATATGTTGTAAGTCATACATATACAGGACCAAAGGATCATGGTGTCAGTAGTTCTAGTGGTTCAGTCCATTTACATACCCTGTGAGATAGGAAGAATATATTTCCACAGTGCATAAATGCATGTATATTTCCTATAATTCTTCAGTGGGTATTCCTGTTACACATTCATTTACTGGACTGTAAGATCTTCTTTCTGTCCTGATTCAGTCTCTCCGGAATTGGAGATAATTTTTGGAAGCTAAGTCCAACACTGTACATACATACTAAACTTTTATGTATGTTACACTGAGTTCATATGCTTTCATGTTTATTCCTGAAAATCCAAAATACATTCATTCTAAACCGTGCCTTTAATTGTTGTTCCCTGTACAGTAATTCCAAAAGCTGTTTTACATGAATTTTAATAACTTTTGTTATAGTTGCAGCGCAGGCTTATCAAATGCCCCATTATTGGCTTATCTAGTGTGGAGGCATTACTTTTGTGTGGTGGCTATGTAGCCCTGCTGTATCTTCTCTGCCTGCCTTCTATCCTGAGTCCTGTCCTTAAAATTCTTGTGCCACATAGCAGTATCTTGTGTAAGTGGTATGTGAGAACTGATGTTGATGTCTGTATAGAGTTTTGTGAACAAAGTACATGCACAAGGTATGTGCATTCACATAAAAAACATGGTTGTTGAAGCAGCAGGAACCATTATAGCTCCAAAAGAATACATGTGAGGACTCTTTTAAAAATTCCACTAGTCAGATACAGAAGGGCTAAATCCAGACCCTTGTTTCATTCTCCTCCCACCAGTAATGATTTAACCATTTTTCACAGATTTTTAATTCATTTTTTTATCCATCTTTGGATCATTTGGTCACTGAATATATAAAAATGCTCATAGTTACTCTTTTGAATGCTCCTGATGGAAATGAAGAAATGTGCAATTAGGACTAAGCAGATCTCATTCTACACCAACGTTAAAAATGTTTTGCTATCATTTGGAAACGCCCATATGAATCATTTTTCCCAGTACCATGTTTCTCCTAGTTCCTATCAAAGAATGTGACAAGAATTCAAATCTCAGTTCAAATGTAATCATTCAGATGCTTTCAATATGTACCTATACGCACACACCTCACCCACGTATACTGTACTTGTAATATGGTTTCTTAGATTTTTTTCTTAACAATTTTGGAATAGTTTTATCAGATCAACCATTCTTGCCAGGCTCCCCTGACAAGGATGTAACACTAGTTCCTGTCCCAACCCTTATAATTCTGTTTCCAAACATAAAATGTGAGGGAACAGGGTTTTTTTTTAAGCAAACAATCATTAATATGAAAATACAACAGAATATTGTTCCTTGTTCACTTGCAAATTGTCCTTACTGTAGCTATGAATTATGTACCTGCATTGTCTGCTAGCACACTGCATTTTTCCTGCATCTTATTCTCCCTTGGAATCACTCAAACTTATCCAGCTGATTTAAATTGTTGCTTTCTAAAAACATTTTAAATAATTAATTTAGCAAGTGGCAAACTCCAGCTGACCTTGCTAAGCAGGATCAACCCTGGTTAGTATATAGAAAGGGGATGGTTTGGGAATTCCAGAGCTGTAGACCAATTTGGAAAATAAGAACCCCCCACTTCCCCCAGAAAATAACAGTGGTAAAACACTTCCAGAATGCTACTACACCCTCCTGCATAGATGCTATTACTAGGAGCTGAGCTCAACTTGAAGGCATCTTTATTATTTTACTAAATATTATAATTCTGGGAATGCATGAAAATCCTTGATATTTATTAAATAACAGGTTAATCTTCATTCAATAAATTCTATGAATACACTACATTCTATTCTAGCAGCTTACTTCTGGGCTAGCTCCATTGAGGTGAGCAAAAGTTAAAAGTATACAATGATGATGGTGTCTTCCATTCATTTTACTGAGCTGGAGAATCTCATGTAGAATTGTAGTTATTAATCAATGCTGTACTGCATTTTTTTCTGCGTGGTATGGCTTTGTTTAAATATCCACATTATTATGGGACTGATGAAGTAATAGAATGATCTCTTCAGTTAACTGATTCATGCTTTTAAGATTCTTAGGCTCCATTTTCCTTCTCTAATTTCAAAGCTAAATGAAAGTATCTGCAGTTGATTTTTTTAATGCCTTGTGTCTGTTTCTGCATTTGAAATGCTTTTATTGGTTGTTCTGATATGGCACTAGATAATGTCAGATCAATGCAGGTTATTATTATAGTCCAGTCTGCTTACTGTGAGTGAAAAGCTCTGTGTCTATGTCATGCACAAGCTGATACAGCCTGGCTGTCACAGATAAGCGTCTGTCATTTTTCCAGCAGGGTGGGGGGAGGAATATGAGATCCGGGATGAGCATTGAGGGGTAGAGACCTGCTGACGAGGATATATGGTTCCCTTGGAAACTGTTGTAAATGGGGAGTGAAGAGTGAAGCATCAGCACTGAGACAAAAGGACAGAGCTTGATTTGAAAGCCTTGAAGCACTCAGGTTGCTCTGCAGGAAGATACTTCTGTCTCAGCGGTCTGAGAGCTTCTCTTCTATAAGTAATCCCTGCTTCTACAGCACATTTGTCACAGGCTGCCCCATAGCAAATGAGGTTACATGCTTTGCTTAAATTCTATTCATGCAAACGATAAAATAATTGAAGCCAATCTAAATTGTAGTTACAGGTATCAGACTACAGTAGTTTGTAGTCATTGTAGTTCAATCTGCTTGAATTTTGCCTTGGGTAGTGGATTATTATGGGGAAAAAACTTACAGTATTTATAATGCAACTTCTGGCTTGTGTATGAAGGGCATTATTTTGATACACAATTTTATATTCTATATATACACAAATTTATATTTTATATATATATATA